CCTCCTAGAATGCAAAAGCCCCTGAAAGAGAAACCATCTTAGATGCCTGAGGCCCTAGTTATCAGCTAATGCCTCCTTTTTCAATTAGCACTTCAGCAGAGCCGGGGATGAAGTTTCAATTCACTTTCACCTTGTTCCCACATTTGAGGTGGTTTCCAAGGGGACTGCGGGGGTGGAGGGCTGCTGGGAGTCGCTTGTGTGGGGAGGGGCTGCACCTGGGTGTGAGGGGCCCGTGGGGACCAGTGCACAGATTCTCGAATGTGTTTCAGGGGCTCTGCCACCAGCAACGACCTGCCTCCAGCCCTGTGACTTTGACAAATTTAGCCTGCTCGGTAACCTGAAGTGCATTTCAATTTCATAAATTTAGAAATGCTCTGGTTAGATCCCTTCTGCAGTAATGCATCCATTAAGTGCACTTTATGCCAATTTTGGTATGCTAATCCATCACAAATCGACGTGAAATTTAGGTTCTTGTGAAAATTTCCTACACCCGATCCGAAACCTCTACCGGATTTAGGGTAATAACAAATTGCGGTTCCTTAAAGCTGCAGACTTAGGTCTGCATCGAAACTTGCCTAAAGAGAGGAACAGGACCAGTTTGAAACAAACATCAGAACATGTGTATGCATCTGAGAGCTGCCCACTTCCCCCCTCCCCCCACCCCGGGGGGTGGGACATCTTCCTTACTCCTAAAATGCTGCCACAGCCCGTAGGCATTACAGCTCTATCTCAGAGTTCCCACCTGAGAAGTCTGCTCTGGAGGGCTGTAAGTCCTGGGAGGGCAGGAACAAGGTCCTGTGAAGTGTCAGCATTCCCAGCCCGCAGCTCAGAGCCTGGCCTGCAGACACGCCCAGCAAATATCTGGTGAATGACCCAGCTGGAATCTCCTGGCTTGGTTAGTGCCTTGTCCCCCAGATTTAACTTCCCATGATTTGCCCTATTTCCTAGAATCAGACGTCTTCCCCACCAATGAAGGCTGGAGATCCTAAAAGAACAGGCAGAAACCTCTGGAGGGAAATCAGCTGAGGACCCCAGGTGATTTGGGCGACAACAGCACCATGGGAAGAACCTCTTCATTCTGCGGTATCTGAGGCCAGGAGTGAATGTAGGGCCAGTAATTGGCAATACAAAGAACGTGCGCGTGATGAAAGAGATATAATGTCATTGCCATCACCGCCTGAGACTCTGTTGCTACCAGTTGTTGAAGGGCAGTGCCTATTAACTAGATGTTTTTAGCTGCATAATAGACGTTTTGCCAATAAGGTGAAAGTTTATAGCCTGTAGCATTTTCACCTGCTTCTGTCATAAGATCTACAATCCACCCAACAGCAAAAATGAGCTGTTGACTTGGTAAATGTAGAGCAGCATCGCCTGCCCTAGATGTGAAATACCTGAGCCTTCTAAATACATTTCATTTTCCTGGCTGAGCATTTAATGCAGTCAAATGTTACAAAGCAGTGCTGGGGAGGATAATGGGAATGACACCCACACGCAGAGGCGCTGAGCGGCTCTTCGTGATCTGCACTCCCTCCCTGCCCAGCTTCGCTCCTGGGTCCAACCCAGACCCGCTTCACGATCTGCAACAGCCATCTCTGTGAATGTCCCCACCACACCTCCCCAGGTGCCTGATATAGAAGCCCCCGTATCATCCTTAGCTCTTTTACTTCCAGTTAGCCACCATCCCCTTCCCGAGCCTGGCTCACCTTAGAGGCCTGGGAGGTTTTAAAAAAATTCAGATTCCTGGGGCGCCTGGGTGGCTCAGCCGGTTAAGGGTCCGACTAGTGATTTCGGCTCAGGTCATGATCTCATGGATGGTGGGATCAAGCTGTGCATCAGGCTCCGTGCTCAGTAGGGAGTCTGCTTGCTATGCGCTCCCTCTGCCCCTCCCCCCACTCATGGGCACGCACTCTTTTTCTCTGTCCCTCTCAAATCAATCAATCAATCAATCAATCAATCTTTTTAAAATTCAGATTCCTGGGCTTCAATACCAGAGACTCCATTTCCCTAGGTCTAGGGTGGGACCCAGGAAGCTGAATCTCTGGCGTGGTGCCTAGGCATCTGTAGAGTTAACAAGCTCCCCCACCCCCCCCCCTTGAAGTTTCAGAACTGCTAGTTTGGACCCATTTCATCTCTCCCTTGGGACCGCTGCAGTGGCCCCTAGCTACTTTCCCTGCCTCCTCTCCTTGACCTTCAGTAACTGGTTCTTTCTACATATGCAGCCAGGTTATTTCCGACACACAAATCTGATCAGGCCCACCCCATAATTAAATATCTGTGATGCCTCCATGGCACCTGCAAAGAGGTTCATGGCCACATTGCCAGACAGGGTCCAAGGCCATGCCACTATAGTCCTGCCTCTTCTCTGGGCCCACCTCCCTCCCTGGCTCTTGCACATTCGTGCTCCATAACACTGCTTCCGAAAGTGGCTTCCCATGGACAACAGACATGGGGGCTCTGTGACGCCGGCATCACAGAACATCGGTGATCATTTCTAGGGACTATCTGCTCTTCGGTGGAAACTAGAGAAAAGGCGGCTCCTTAGAAGTTGCTTTGATGACGTTAAAACCCAGTGTGTCTCGTCAGTAAATGGTGTTGGGAAAACTGCTGAGCCACATGCAAAAGAATGAAACTAGACCACTACCTTACACTCTACCCAAAAATAAACTCAAAATGGATTACAGACTTGAGTAGAAGACCTGAAACCATAAAATTTCCAGAAGAAAATAAAGATGGTAAGCTCCTTAACACTGGTCTTGGTGATGACCTTTTGGATCTGACTCCAAAAGCAAGAAATAAGCAAGTGGGACTGCGTCCAACTAAAAAGAATCATCAACAAAATAAAAGGCAACCTACTGAATGAAAGAAAATATTTGCAAATCATATATCCAATAAGGGATTCGTAGTCGAAATATATGAAGAACTCATACAACTCAATAGCAAAAAAAAAAAGCCAATATGATTAAAAATGGGCAGAAGTTCTGAATACACATATTTTTTCAAAGAAGACATACAGATGCCAAGAGGCACATGAAAAGATGCTCAACATCCCTAATCACTAGGGAAATGCAAATCAAAACACAATGAGATATCACCTCACACCTGTCAGAATGGCTAGTATCAAAACGACCAGAAATAACAAGTGTTGGCGAGGATGTGGAGAAAGGGGACCCCTCCTACACTGCTGGTGGGAATGCAAACTGGTGCAGCCACTGTGAAAAACAGTATGGAGGTTCCTCAAAAAATTAAAAATAGAGCTACCCTACGATCCAGCAATTCCACTTCTGATTGTTTACTATTTGAAAACTCTAATTTGAAAAGATGTGTGTGCAACAGTATTTACAATAGGCAAGACATGGAAGCAAGCTCAGTGGCCACTGTTGGATGAATGGGTAAAGAAGACATGATACAGGGGCGCCTCGGTGGTTAAGTGTCAACTCTTTTTTTAAAAAAAGATATTATTTACTTATTTTGACAGAGAGGGAGGGAGAGAGAGAGAGAGAGCACAAGCAGTCTGAGTGGGAGAAGCAGGCTTCCCGCTGAGCAGGGAGCCTGACTTGTGGCTCCATCCCAGGACCCTGAGATCATGACCTGAGCCAAAGGCAGACACTTAACTGACTGAGCCACCCAGGCGCCCTAAGCATCCAACTCTTGATTTCAGTTCGTGTCATGATTTCAGGGTTGTGAGATCGAGCCCCGCATCAGGCCACGAGCTCAGTGGGTAGCCTGCTAGGGAGTCTCTCTCTCTCTCTCTCCTTCTCCCTCTGCCCCTCCCCACCCCTAGCCTCCCTACTCCCACCCCTCACCCCTGTGTGCACCCTTTCTCTCTCTCTCTCCCTAATAAATAAATAAATCTTAAAAAAAAATAAAAGAAGATGTCATACAGGCTTGGGCAGACTCGGGGTAGATATTTTTGGCAAGAAGGCTTGGTGGATGGTGGTGTGTGTTTCCATCAGGAGCACATAACTTCTGGTTGTCTTCCTTCTAGTGATGTTAATAGCTAACAATGCTTCCAAATCCAAAATTATAATATTCAAAATCCACTATTTTTTCCTCATTTATCGGATGGAATACTTCTATAAAAGTGAAGTTTTCCCTGTTTATTATTGTTTTCACCTTGTGGTACAGTTAGTAAAGAGAAGGCAGGATAAATGCCTAATTCTTTCATGTGTTGTTTTCAAAAGCATGGCTTGGTTCTCCAGCATCCTCCAGTGGTGACCAATTAGATCTACTTTTGTTGTTGCTTTAATGCTATAGGGTTGGTGGCCTGATAAGAAAAGGGAGAGAGAGATCTCCTCTCTCCAAGCATGCACAAAGAAGAGGTCAGGTGAGCACATGGTGGGAAGGCAGCCACCTAAAAGCCCCAAGAAGAGGCATCCATATGAAATCCACCTGGCTGGCACCTTGATCTTTGACTTCCCGGCCTCCAGAACTGAGAGAAAACAAACTTCTGTTGTCTACGCAAAACCAAAGCCCTGAGCAAAGCCCAGAGAGAGTGTGGCTGCAGTTATGGTGGGGTGTGGGGTGCTAGAAGGGTGTGAACACTGTTCGGGGGCCTCCCATCCAACCCGGCTGAACCTTGCTTGGTGCGCTCGGGTACTTGGTGGACGGGCTGCAAGTCCCCAGGCTCAGGTCCTGCCTGCACCTCAGTGACCCTCCTGGTTTGCTCCGGGACCCTGGGTGGGCCCCTTCCTCTCTCTGGGCCTCACATCCCTGCTCCTGACACAAAGGGTGGAACTGATTATCTCTTGGGACTGTGCTCTGGCCAAAGGGTCATTCTTGATTACGCATCCATGAGAAGTGACAGAAAGTGTTTACTATCTGTTATCAGTCTTATGCTGGGAAACAAATTACCCCAAACTTAGCGGCTTAAGACGACATCAGTCTGTTGCCTGGAAGCTCTCTAGAGGTCAGAAGTCGGCGGGCTGTCTGCTCCAGGTCTCGCGAGAATGAAGTCAAGGGGCCAGCTGGACTGGGCTCTTGGGCGCGCAGGTCCTGGGGAGGAACCCACCTCCACGCTCATTCAGGTTGCTGGTAGAATTCATTTCTTTGTGGTCCCTGAGGTGCCCATTTCCTTGATGGGTATCAGCGGGGCTTCTCTGGCTCCTCTCCGGGGCCACCTGCTTGTCTTCTCACAGGGCATCCTGTGCCTTCAAAACAGCAACAACATTCAAGTCCTTCTCCCTCTTGGAACTCCTCTGCCTTTCTCTTCTGCTTGCTTCTAAGGGCTCCGGTGGTTACATTGAGTCGGCCAAGGAGTATCCAGGATGTTAGTAATGCAGGGTGATCTCCCTCTCTTAAGGTTGACTTTGACTACATCTGGGAGGTCCTTTTTGTCATGTGACCGACATATTCACAGGCAGGACACTGGGGGCAAAGGTGATGATGGAGGTTACTTAACACATCTGTGTTAGGATGTGCACTAGGCCGGTTTCTCCCGGGCACCATTTCTTCAGCAAACAGTTCCTGAGTGGGTCCGGGGACACTCTATCCGAGCCTCCAAGAGCAGCCCTGTCTTCTGGAAGCCCCCAGTCAGAAAGGATACAGATGGGAAGAACCAGGTGCCATGCCTGGGCCTGGCCTTTGGTCCAGGGCCCACTGGGGGCAGGTGTCTCATGCACTCAGTAAGAAGTTGGCCCAGCAAGGGTCCCAACCCTCCAGGTATTCCAGCCACTCTCAGTTTTCGCTTTATCTGGATCTCCCTGGTCAATGATTTACTTACTGCGTTCTTTCAGCACACTCACCGAGAAGCAATTTACATCCTGAAACATATACTGACAAAGTTGGGAGTTGCCTCGATAATGAAGTGTGGGGAGAGTCCGAGGAATAGAGAAATGACATTGGCCCCAGGCCAACGGTGGTTGATGGTGGCAGGTGGGACGGACATCAGGCACTCATCTCAGTTTCTGGTCTGAGTTTGGAAATGTCCATAATAAAAAGAGTTTTTAAAATGCATTTTTTTAAGGGAGATTTTTTTTCCTCATGAATGGAAAAACCACTCTCACTTGCCAAAAGAAATTATCAAAAAGTAAATATAATTAAAAGAAAACAAAGTGGTTCAATCCCAGCCAGGTACTGATGGGTGTTTTCTCCTTGTTAACAAGGAGATTAGCAAGTGTCAGAGTTTAAGGACAGGGCTCAGTGGGCTTTCTCCCTGGCATAAGTTTTTTGTTTTTTAAGATTTTATTTATTTATTTGAGAGGGAGAGAGAGAGCGCATGCACGAGCGAGGGTGAGGGGAGGAGAGGCAGAGGGAGAGGGAGAAGCAGGCTCCCCAGGGAGCAGGGAGCCCCATGCGGGACTCGATCCCATCACCCTGGGATCATGACCTGAGCAGAAGGCAGATGCTTAACTGACTGAGCCACCCGGGGGACCCTCACTAGCATAAATTTTTAAGAAGATTTATCGGTTTTTCTTAAATCTTTCTCAGTAAGCACAAAGCAGTAAGCAACTCAGTAAGTTGTCTTTAACGCGGGATCCATGCATCCCTAATAGCCCCTGGGGTCGGAGGAGCTCTGAGTCACCTTCTGAGGCTGCAGCGTCCCTGTCTGTGACTGTGGGTGTGCTGTCTGGGGGCAAAGGGGAGGGGCCAGGGAGTGAAGAGGGACAGCCCAGAGCAACTGGGAGAGCCCCCTTAGGCAAGAAAAGCTTGGGTTCTAAGTCTACCTTTGACACCTCTCCCCTTACCTGGGCACCTGACCTTCTTCTCTAAACTGCCCTCCCGCCACCCTTCGAGATTCGAGATCCCAAGCTCTGCTCACTCCCCCACCCTCAGCTGCAAGCTGACCCTGGGGAAGAGCCCTGGGCCCTCCACCTTCACTGAATGACCAGTAAAGACCTTTCTCCTCCCGTCCCACAACCTCCCCTCCCAGATCTAAGAAGAGACTGCAGGTGGCTTTGTCACCTACTTTTTTTTTTTTTTTAGATTTTATTTATTTGTTTGTTTATTTATTTATTTACTTTATTAATTTTAGAGAAAGAGAGAGTGTGCGTGCGTGAACATGGGGAGGGGCAGACGGAGAGGGACAAACAGACTCCATGACAAGTACAGAGCCCAACGCAGGGCTCGATCCCACGACCCCAGGATCACAACCCGAGCTAAAATCCAGAGTCGGCCGCTTAACCAACTGAACCACCCAGGTGCCCTGCTTTGTCACCTTCTAAGTCTAAGGTATCCCGAGCCCTGAAGAGGCTAAATGGGAGGTACTCAGCCAAGGCATGACTTGGGGACTTAAACCCATGGGCCACATCACTGGAACTCAGACACCAGCTAAGCTGTGACAGTCTGGGTGAGGGTAAGAGGATATTGCCCCATTTTACAGGTGAGAACACTAAGGCTCATGTAGTTGGCCAAAGGCACACAGCTTTGCCAATGGCAGAGCAGGAGACAGGTAGGGCCCATTGCCCCTTGAATCAGTGCTCTGTTCGAGGTACGCCCCACCCCAGAAATGGGCCAGATGTCACCCGAGAGTCCTACCCCAGCAGGTAAGCAGTGGAAGGGCAAGAGCGCTCAGTCAGGGCTCTCTTCCAGGAGGCTGAGGGGCCACCCTGCTCCTGATCCACACATTTTTACACAGTGAGCACATGCCAACAAGGACTGTGAGCATTTTCAGATGAGGACGTTACGATTACAATCCTCTGAGCCATTTGTCATCTCTTGTTTACTCCTTTTATTGCCTAGCCCACGCCAGGCTGTATCACGGTAAATGTGATGTATCTGGCCTCTGGTTGGCCCCTCAGGAGGGAGAATTCTGGGAGGGAGGAGCCCGGGACCCAAGAAGACAAGAAGCAAGAAGGACCTCTCCTGGGCCAAGAGGCCTCTGGGCCTGAAGTCCCTCTTTCCAGAGCCAGGAAGACCCACTGTCTTTGCACCAAGAGGAGGGGGTGCTATTCATCCTCAGTGCTGGTCCTTGCCTGCCTGCCACATGTGCCCACCGGGGGGCTGCACTGGACATGAAGCCTAGAGTCACCCTCTCCCACCCGAGGGGCTGGGCCTCTGCGAGTCCTGGATGGGGAGCTCACCTGGACGCAGCCTTCACATGGGACCTCCCTCCTGCTCTCGGGGGCTCAGGGCTGAGGAGCCTGTGCCTTCAATGTCTGCCTCCAAAGGAGCTGAGTGGTGCTTCTCTCCCACTCCTGGAGCCACTGACACTGGCGTTTACATCATACATCTTGGCAACCAGACTGAGGCATTAGTTTTCAGGCTGTGACCGGGACCTAGAGCTGCCTCCCTGGCTCGGGTCGTTGTAAAAACAATTATTCCTTCTTTGATTTCAGCCTGAGAGCTGAGCTGATATTTGAAGATTCGAGAAATCAAATATTCATAGAAGCGACTGTATAATTCTTATTTGGAATATTAATTATGTGAAGGGACCGACAGAACCAATCCTTTCCTGTGAAGCCCCAACCAAGGAGCTGTCCCCAGTCTGGGCTAAAAGCCTCACACAAATAGACAAGGTCCCACCTGCAGCTGGAGCCCCAGGCAGGACCTGCTCCACGCAAAGTGCTTACAGTCTCAGCAGCACCAAAAAACCACTACTTTGAGTATGCCTAGGGCTTCACAATTTACAAACTGTCATGTTGGTACAGTTCTTTGAGCCCCCATCCCTAGCTGGCTCAGTCGGTGAAACATCTCCCTCAGCTCAGGTCATGATCTCAGGGTCCTGGGATTGAGTCCCCCATCGGGCTCCCTGCTCAGCCTGGAGCCTGCTTCTCCCTCTGCCTCTGCCCCTCCCCGCCTTGTGTGCAGGCTCTCTCTCTCAAGTAAATAAATAAATAGTCTTTAAAAAGAAATAAAATAAAGATCCATGTAGGAAATATGAACGCACCATTTATAAACGAAGCGGTAACCTCTGAAAGAGGACCGGTCTTGCTTAGACTCAGCTAAGAAGTGTAACGGGGAGGATTGACTCCCAGGCTAATGCTCTCCCCGTAAAACCCTCTTTACTTTGCAGAAAATCTCAACCTCCCTCCAGCCCCGAGGAGTAGACATTCTTCGACCCATTCTATAGATAAGAATCTGAAGTTAAGGAAGCTCTATTTTGTACACCTTTCCAAGTCCCCTGTAACGCTCATGCACCCAGCCTTCCACCCACTGGATGGTCCCGGCACCCCAGGCTCCTGGCCCATTTTTCCCGGGATCCGGGACCCACAGAGGTGGTGGCATTCACGTGTGTTCTTCAGTCGTTGTTGCTCTCCAGTCCAGTATTTAAAAAATAACACCCCCAAACCACAGAAAGCAAGGTTTTCTGCACCTTGGCTAATTTCCTGCTGACTCAGCCAGGCTGGGCAGGAGCCAACTGTGGTAACTTCCCTGGCCCTGTGTGAGAAATATTTATTGTTGAATAGTCCTCTGTTTAATAAAAGGCACCCGGGCCTTTCTACGGGGCAGAGAGGCTCAGACAAGTGTGGCTGTATTTCCCACGCCTGCCGCTTCTGGGCAGGATTATGTGGGTGGAGTTCTCTGCTCTTCTAGCAAGGCTTCTGTCTTCCCTCCTTCCCACCTGCGGCCTTGATTTACATAAGCCAGAGCCTCACTTCGGTCCCTTCCCCCTCATATGTGAACCAGGCAAATGACTTAATGCCTCTGCACCTCCGTTTACCCGTCTGCAAAATGGCTAGAATCAAATGCAAGTACTGATTGCATTGTAAACTGCCCACTTCTGATTCATCCTCAGATAGCTTCCCTGTTCAGGGCCCCAGGACTCCTCCCTAGAGGCCGATCCGTGGGTCTCTGCTGACTTGAAAGGAGGCTTTGAAATGCCAGAGTGCAAGCAAGAAATCGGCAAAGGACTTCAGGGCACTGGAAAGTACCTTGCTACTTAATAATGCACGAGGCTTTTTATGATGCTTATGTGAATAGCTTCTGTCTGCGGAGGCCGCGCTGAGAGAGCCACTTCCAGGAGGGAGCCCTTCACAATATACTGGAGTCCACATCCCAAAGACCAGAGACCAGGGGGGCTGATCATGTTTCAATTAGCTCGACGATTACAAAGCAGGAGATTGACGTGCCAGCCC